TGATTTCCGAGGATGGTGCTGATGAGGGCCCCCAATGCCAGAGATGCGTATCTTTCAACCGAGACACGCTGGGATGAGATAGAAATGCTGTTGACCAACCCGTTTGCGCCTGTGCTGAAAGTCATTGAGTCACACATGAGGACGTTGCGTGTTGAAAGTACGTGCGCTTGATCTGCCAAGGATTTACACAATCTCGGTCAGCGGTTTGCAGCCATCTCCAGCGAGAGGGGGCTGGCGGAGCTTGTTGGACATTTGCTGGTCGGGGATCTTGGTGCCAGAGCCTCATGGCAAGCTGTCCCACCCATGTCACGCAGAGCAGCTGGCAGGTCAAAGTTCCTGGGCGTCAGCTTTCGTTCACCATCCTGCGAGACATGGTGTACCACAGGTACTCAGGCCGCAGCTGCCAGGCAATTGCACATGTTTCCCTTGCCTTCGTGATCATGCGTCAGGCCAGCTGTTCAGCAACTGTGATTTCACTATGGGTTCAATCCAGGAGGACCGCCAGCAGGCCCAGTCCGCCGTCGGGGGCAAACACCAGGAAATCCAAAAAAACATTAAGAACACCTCCGTCATGGGGCAGATGGTTCTGAACCACTTCAGAAGCATTGTGAGCCATTACCAGAGCCCTTACTTTGCAGCCCCGTCAGAAGTGCTGGGAGAGATTCCAGGAACCGAGCTTGGGCAATCAGTGCGCACATCAGTTGCGACAGCTTCATCCCTACCACGGGCGCTTCCACGTGGAACCTTGGCCTCCACACGCCACGCCATTGGCTGTGTGAGAGAAGATGCCTGGTTTGATGATGACCTTTCTGACTGGCAGCCGTCCAGCTGCGCAGCGGGTTCTTCTCAGAGCAGCGGTGCAGTAGTGGACACGAGCAAAATGACTGTGTTCCGGGTGACGCATAGCCAGCCCAACAGACTGAAGAGGATCCTTGGCTGACAGCACTGCGATTTTTTGTTTTGTTGTGAGGGGGGCGAGGGCACAGGTGCCATGAGGCGGTGACAGATTGCAGATTGGCTGTTTTTGCTATTTGAGGCCACTGGCAGCTATGGATGACCTGATCCCGAGCGATTTGGCCGTGAGGTTTTACCCGGTTCGCCACCATGACACAAACAGCGGACGGATTCAGATTGCGCGAGCCCCAGGGCCAAGCATTACAGCCACTCGTATGTTCACAGACAATGCAGCATTGACACAGCAACTGTTGGGCCAAGTGCTAGTGCTCCAACCGTCAACTGCAGTAACCACATGCCTTGTGCCGGAACTTCAGCAGTTGGTGGACGCAGGGGCATTTCCAGGTTCCAATAAACGTTTGTATGATGATGAGGATGGAGTGTCACAGGAGCTTTTGGACAGGGGTTTGGTGCAGAAGTGCGCCCCTGGACAATGGCAACTGACAGTAGCAGGCGTGCAACAGCTGGACCAGACACTGTGGCTTGAACCTACAGGCAAAGTGTTTACGCCTCGCGCTGTGAAGGTTGATGATCTCTCGCAGCTTGAGTGCCAGTTGGAACTTGAACGGCGAGGATGGCAAATGAACAACTTGGAGGACAACCGCCAGAGTGCGTTTGCGCCGTTTAAAGGGGGAAGCAAGGTATGGTACACAGACAAGAGCGGCGCTTTCTTTATAACGTACGCACGTTGCTTACTGAAGTGGGATGAGTTGCGGGCGGATCACGTTGAGAGCATCTTTCATGGGCAAATTTCGGCATATTATCAAGCCCTTTTGCAGTGCAGCCCTGACAAGCGGCCAGCGGTGGTGCCATGGAAGCCAGCAACATTCTACCGCGATCTAATGACTGGCAACTGCGAAGGCGCCGAACCAAGCCGTGCTGTTGAGCTCATCGATGACTTTTCCATCGAACGTGAGGGTAAGGTGCAGAAGTCGTCCGGCATGGTGGGTGGAGGGAAGGTGGGGGTTTTGCCCCCCCCTGACAGCGACTGTGCAAAGGATGCCCAGCCAGCACCTTCCAGAGGCCAAGCGCAGCTGCCAAAGGCGAAGCCTGCGCCAAAGCAGGCAGCGGCACGGGCGCCGGGCTCCAGACGCGGTGATCGGCACCCCAAATCTGTGATGTTCGGTGAGTTCGATATCAGGTACTTTGAGACCCCTGCCGTTGATCTGTACAAAGCTTTTTGCAAGCATCACAGTTCTGAGACGGACCAATGTGTGAAATCCATGCGTATCAACCAAGCCAGCACGCCGGAGGCTGTGGTGCGAAGGTTGAAGGCCTGGTGTTTGCAGGGCTTGATGCCTACAGTTGAGGACAAGCATAGCCATGTGTTCTTGACGATGGTTCCGGTAGAGTCGGCGACTGGCACTGACGCCGAATTGGACGAACAGCTGGCCACGTTGACAGGCTAGGCAAATGTACAGGCATCGTGGCGTGTTCGAGCTGCGCATTTGTTTGGCACAGACAGCAGGTTGTAATGTGAAAAAACGATTCAGCGTCTCCAGTGCCATGATGTCGGACCGACACTCTTGGTTGTGCCAACTGATTCTGTTGAGCCAAGGTCAGTGGGTTGAAGCCGTCATGTGTGAAGCATGGGTGTTTTTGTGTGGATGATGGCTCAAGAAGTGTGGTAATGATCTTGACAGACTGGCACGCATGTTACCATCACCTGTACCTGTGGGATTGATTTGGATCCATGGCCCCACACACATAGTTGCACCATCATGAGTGACACTGAACCCGAGGATGCGTTGGACGCGCAGCCATGGAGCCAGATGCCGAGGCTGACGCAGCCAGCTCGAGCAGCTCAAGCAGCTCAACCAGCAGTGACGAGGATGAAGCCGGCCAGCATGGAGGCAAAGGAATGGGTCGGACGAAACAACACGAGTGTGATAATCACGGGCCGTGCGTGCGAGTGGCAACGTTACGCGTAAATCATGCTTTCACGTGATGCTCGTCACCTGGAGATTCAAACACCCAGAAATTTCTGGGCGTTTTGGGTAATGGGTACGATTGGAGGAAAACTGGGCGTTCTAGTACGAACCGCTGGAAAACTAGTACGAAGGCCGGCATGTAAGGTGCTGCCGGCCGTTTGGAGGATATTTGAGCCAACAAGATCTGACATATATAGTTTCCTTTCTCGGTGCTTGCATTTCCCGTTGCAATCATGACCCTACATCGGTCCCCAATCAGGGCATGCTATTGAGCGGGCAGTGCTGCTTTTCACCGGGCACTCCACGCAAACAAACCCAATTGACCCATTTTTTGGGATTTGCGCTCGTTTGCGGTATTTTGCGGGTGTGCGGCCAAAAGTGGTACGAACAAAGGGCATTTCTCACCCAAAGCATGTTTAGACTAAACTTGCTCCGATTTGCGCACCACTCCCCCGCACAGCTAGGATTGAAGGGTGTTGATGGAGGGAAGGATTTGAAGGGTTGTCGAGTTTGAAAGTTTCAGAAGATTCGAAAATCAGGTCTAGTGGGCAACATCAAGCTGAATGAGAGAGAAAGACCTGTGCAAGAAGGAAACGCCCAATAATTCCAATTTCTAGGTGTCTTAGTCGTTTTGAGGTAAAAAATGATACGAAACAGGCAAATGCAATACAATGACCAAACCACCTACTGGTTTCTAGTCGTTTGAAGCTGCAGGCAGTTTTCTTGCGGCAATTGCTGCCCGAGGACATCGAACCGCGAATCAAACGGAAAAACACAAAGTGAAACGGAAATCTGAAAAAAAAGTAAAAAAACCTGACGATCAGTAGGGGATCAGTCGGAACCCCAATCCCAGAGCAAAATCATGGTGCACCAGCCTCCAGAACACGGTAGATCAGGCTTCCAGTCGGGGATTCCCAGTCTTTTTTGGCACGAAACATGGTCCGCGACAGATCCCCTACTGATCGTCAGGTTTTTTTACTTTTTTTTCAAATTTCCGTTTCATTTTGTGTTTTTCCGTTTGATTCGTGGTTCGGTGTCCTCGGGCAGCAATTGTCGAATTCCTTTATCCAGACTGGCACGGTATGGGCACCACGACCCCCCCCCCCGAACCATGGTCCGCGACAGATCCCCTACTGATCGTCAGGTTTTTACGTGTTTTTTTCAATTTTCCGTTTCATTTTGTGTTTTTTCCATTTGATCCGTGTTTTGATGTCCTCGGGCAGCATTTGTCGAATTCCTTTATCCAGACTGGTACGGTATGGGCACCACAACCCCCCCGAATGTTTCCCGACAGGTCCGCGACAGGTCCGCGACGGGTCCGCGACGGGTCCGCGACGGGTCCGCGACGGGTCCGCGACAGGTCCGCGACAGGTCCGCGACAGGTCCGCGACAGGTCCGCGACGGGTCCGCGACGGGTCCGCGACGGGTCCGCGACAGGTCCGCGACAGGTCCGCGACGGGTCCGCGACGGGTCCGCGACAGGTCCGCGACAGGTCCGCGACAGGTCCGCGACGGATTCGCGACAGGTCCGCGACAGGTCCGCGACAGGTCCGCGACGGGTCCGCGACAGGTCCGCGACGACTGGTCCCCAACTGGTGTCTGATTTGGCGGTTCGATTCCACCCTTGCCACATGAATGGTTGCGCCAGGCGATGCCAGATTCCGTGTGGACGACATGTTTGCGGACTGCGACATTGGTGGGCAGACCAAAGCGAGAGCCACTTGCAAGCTGAAGAGGAAACGGGCGCCGTCTGGCGCGGGGCAGGCTTTGTCGCCCAATATGGTTGAATCCTTCCGCTGGAACTTTTGGCTGGTAGAGCAGTGCGAGGCAAACTACGGTCAGGCGGCCGTGTCCACCCTGCTGCGAAACACACACAACGCGGTTTGGATGTCGCAATACAGTGACCAGGCAGTTTTGATTGATGATTTGTTTGTTCCCTCTTTTTTGTCGCTTTGCTTGGTTGTTCTTATTGATTTCAACCGACAGCCAGCCCCCTGCTCCCCCGTGTGTTTGTTCTTTGTCCAAGGTGGTATGGGGGGCATGGAGCACAGCAAGGCGATGCTTGAGGCAGCCGTGTCTGACCGAGCGCCAGATCTTTGCCCGGGTTGGGTCCGAGGAATCGTTGGCCATTCGGTTGACATCGACAAGAACTGCCAGCGAGTGCTGTGCTCAAATGAGGACGGCGCCCTGCATGTGTTCCCTGATTTGCTGCAGTTGCTGACGCTGGACGCGCGCGTGGCTGTGCTGAAAGTCATGGACACCTCGAGCCTGGAGTTGAAGCCGCTCATCGCCAAGTACAAGGCCATGCCCAAGATGCCCCAGCCGGTGCGTGGCAAGCAACGGGCTGCCGCGTGTAGTGATGCACCCGGCGATGCCCCGTAGACGAAGGATGATATCAAGAAGGTCATTAACCAACTGGGGAGCACTTTGCTGGACAAGCTCATGGCCCGCATGGATGCATTTGAGAACCTTTTTGTGGAGCAGGCGACTTGTTGCAAGCATCACTCGAAAAAGTGCGATGTGTTCCCGGCCGCTCTCTTGCAGACCGACAGCGAGCGTGTGGCACAGGTGACGGGGGTGGCAAAGCTGACGGACCCTTTGCTCATCTACATGGCCGGGACCTCTTGCCAGGATTGGTCATCGATGTCGCAGGTGCTGTCATTGGCGGGCAAGACTGTGCTTCCGTTTGCGGTGGAGTTGCAACTAATCCGGAGGAAGCGCCCACATGTGTACTTTCATGAGTGCACGAGAAACTTCAGGGCGTCAATCCTGGAGAAGTTTCTCCCTGGCTACCGGGTGCATTCAATGATCCAGCGGCCCACTGAGCGGGGGTTCCCGATCCAACGTACAAGGAGGTACACCGCGTGCATCAGGCTGGACATGGAGCTGGTCCGACCCATTGAGGAAATCAAGATCCTTGATAGGGCGCCTGATTTTGATGGGGGTCAGCTGCTTTGTGCCCCAGATGATGTGGCGCCTTGCGCTTGCAACTACAATTGTGTTCCCTTTATTTATTTTGCGGGGGGGGGGGGGGTTGAGTGAATACAACATTCCACGGGTTCGCAGCCGCGCCGAGGTGGAAGCTGAGCGGAAACGTTTGTGCTCCCGCCAGATGCTGCAGGGCACGTTCTATGATCTGCTCCCGGCCTCGCTCAAAGCATCCTGGCGCGCGTGGCACTTGTGCTTTTCTCATGTCACAGAGTTGTGTCGCCCCGACTTTTCATTTGGTTTTGTTTTTGCTTTGTGTGGCAAATTCCGGCTAGATGAAGCTTCTTAGGTTTGTGAGGGGTAGCCCTTCTTTCACTTTACCTTACAGGGACTTGGATATCGGATAGACCGCGATTTAGTTGTGACTGACTGCTGACTCAGGTGAGGCTGGAACAGTACCACACCAATGAGCGGATTGCCAAGATGGTAAATAGTGGCCGGGAAGTCCTCATCAACTTGACACAGAACGTCGAGTTCAGCGGGCACGCAGGGCATTTTGCTCCATGTTTGTTGACCAAGTCTGTGATTTGGTCAACGCAGCAAGGACGCCTGCTGCTTGCACAAGAACTTCTTGCAGCGCAGGGCGTTCCCGTATTTGGCCCCCAAGTGCAGGCGTCTGGTTTGCCAGTGGCCCCGGTCTGTGCCGATGTAGGTCAACATGCCTTGACACGCATGGCAGGCAATGCGTTTCACGTAGCATGTGCAGGGTCTTTCGTAGGATTTGTGCTCTGCAACCTTCAGCCCGTTGGACCCATTGAAGACGACGGGCTGGGTGCCCCCGAAGACTGTTCAGATTAGACTGTTTGCGCAGGCTCCTTTTTGAAGCGCCAGCATTGCCCAGCGAACGACAGCGACCATCACATGCATTGAAATGCCCATGCCTCCCCACTCCCCACAATAAGAACCCAAGAGTCACTCGTGGGTTGTGCTCGCGCTGGAGCTCCAGTGCATTGCCAGACAAGAATTGGCATTGACGGTGATACGCGGAATCGTGCAAAACTTGGTGAATCGAAAGTTGCTCACCTTGATCCGAATTGTTGGCCTGACAGACGCATGGGTGCTGATGACCTGAATCAGTTTGAACTGGTGACATTTGAGTTGAGTTGAGATTATGAGACCGATTGCGATTGGCTCTAGCAGGGCGGGCAACTTGGACATGATGACATGGCTCTAGCAGGCGGACAAGGCAGAACTGGCATAGCAGCACCACATGCACTTGGAATCAGCGCTTGCCTTGCTGCCATGGCCATGGCTGCTCATGAGGCTCAGGATGAGCTTGTAGGAGCGGCGCCTGATGCTGAGGCATCAACAGGATCATGCGAGATCTGCAAGAAGCCGCTGACGAAGCAGGACCATTTTTTCTGTGAGTATTGTGTGGTCATTGTGTGGCTAAATGTTCTGTTGAGTAATTGTTGACCCACTGGGCTCCACAAAAAGATCCTGAGTTGGTCGTCCAAGTTGGCTGTCAGGAGCAAGACCGTGCGGCCAGACTGCACCTTGCGAGGAACTTCTGTGTGGAGGACGGCTACGCCAAACGGGCCTTTGATGCCGCTTGCAAAACGCAGGGGACTGGAGAGGATGACAGAAACTTACTTGTCCAAGGCCATCATTTTGAACTCTTCAGTCAAGTAAAGGTTCCAACAGTTACCTTTTTATTTCCAGGCCCAGGCCCTTTGTGCAGCTGGTCCCAACTGAGGAAATGAAGAAGAATGACCATGACGTGTGGATTCAGACGGTCCGTGCTTTCAGGGACAAGAAGGCCACGCAGGGAAAGGCCGCACAGTTTGACGTGCTTTCCCACGCGGTCTCGTTGAGGAAATCCAGGGTGGATATGCAGGAGGTGGTGATCAAGCCCATGCTGATGGGAGAGTTTGTGCGGCACAAGAAGCAACTGGCTCCTCCTTTCAACCTCTCAGAAGCCGAAGCCCTGTCAGAATGGCACCGCCTTATAGGTGACCCCTCTGTGAACAAATCAGAGAAGGTGCTCTTCAATCCCAAGAGCCGCAAAGAAGAAACATTTACTCGGGTTCATGTGATTATGGAGGAGAACGAGAGGAGACAGCAAGTGCGGGCCCGTGATGAAACCACAACCCAGGAGGCATCGGCCAGACACCCCACAGCATCCTTTCGGCAAGCTGTTGCGGAACGATTTGCCCAAGAGGACTCGGCTTGGTTTTGCTTCTCAAGTTTCTATAGTTTCCATTTTTGTTTGCAATGTTGCCAGCGGGCCCCAGCGATGGCTCACTTACAGTTCCCCCCCAGGAACCACAGGCTGACGCAAGTTTCCTGACGGCCACAACAAGCGCTCCTCGACTGTCGCTTTCTTTCGATGATGATGGGGCTGTTCCTTTGCAACGAGTGGGTCGCAATCGGGGAGGTGGCGCCGGCGCATCCGCTGGATCAGGTGGGCACACGCCACAAGTCAAGAAAGGCGCCGCCTCAAAGGTTCCTGCCATTGTCAATGTGGAGCAGCTCGCTTTGCAAAAGGCCACTGGGTTCTTGCCAAGGGTCGAGGCCTGCATGAGCAACATGAAGGCTGCCTTGGAAAAGGGCATCCGGGCGCTTGACACGCCCCCCGGGCTGACTGAGACGCTCGGTTTTACTAGGCTGACTTTTTGACCGTTTGAACTATATGTTCAGTCCATGTTGTTTCCAGTGCCATATATAGTGCCATGGTTGTGCACATAAGGAAGTTTTGCGCTATGGTGTCCGATGGCGTTGTGGAGGCAACCGTGACCGGTTGGCTCTTGAGCGGGGAGGACCCGCATCACCTCGGCCCGCGCAAGAGCCTTTACAAGTGTGCTTTTCAGTACGTGCAGAGACTTGTGCTGGTGCAGGCGATGATTGGTGAGGGGGCCATCGACTTCGACCTTCCTGGCATGCAGGTGCTGCAGAAGATGAAGCACTCGGGTGAGAAACGGCCCTTGCGCGACTTGGTGGTGTGCCTTGGCAGAGAAGTCGCTGCATGTTGTTGTTTTCTCACGCATTTCTATTTTGCGATGCGCAGTGGTGGATTTTGAAACTGCATGGGCATCAGCACGGTTTAGCGGGCGTGCCCAAGGTCCGCAGGTTACTTCGATGACTTGCCCCCTGATGATGATCTGGTGCCAGTGCGAGCACTGCTGGATTTGAATGCCTTTCTTATGAAAAGGGTCCCAAGCGCAGACGCTGGTGCTGACTACGACCCAAAGGCTTGCATCGAATCAGGCATGAGCCTTGCAAAGAAGCTGTTGGCCATTTATGCCACTGCTGTGAAGGCTTTGACCAAGGGAGGCAAAGACTACGCAAGCGCCGTGCAAACCACTTTGACGTCTGAACGGCTCCGGCATCAAAACCAGCAGGGTGCCGCCGCTGATCCACCCAAGGCCAAAACGCGATTGAGCAGCATGGCTTCCACGAGTGATCCCGCGGTGATCAAAATTCACCGTAACCTTGAAAAGCGGGCTCCGGTCAGCATTGTGAAGACCTTCGAGGATTTGGACCCAGCAAGTGCCCGAGGGAGCAGACCATTCATCATCCGCAAGGGCAAGTGCTTCGATAGCCTTTAAATCAAATGTTTTTTGTCAGTTTTCATGATGTCGGAATCAGGGGTTGGCTTCATGTGTCAGTTGCCCGCAGATAGCCCGTTGTGTGCGTCAGGAACATCATGAAGACCTTGTTCAAGGAGGAGGCTAACAGAGAGCTGGTTGAGGGATTGATTGACAATTTCCGGGAGTCCATGTCTGAGCGGGCTCAAGCGAAAGGGCAGATCAAACTCGAAGAGGAGGCCTGCGCAATCGTCAGATCCGAGCTCTTGAGCGCTCTACCCGGGCCGTCGGAGTGGCCGTTTGTTCCGGAGGACATGTTCCAAACAGACGGCCCAGCCCAGCTGAGTGAGGAAGAGAGCAAGTACATTTGCGCGTTCTCCCGGGCAGCCTTTGTGCACGGACAACGGCACGGCAGCTGCTACCACGGAGTGGAGACATCATGCTTCGCCTCATTGCGTTTGCAGCGCCAAGGCGCCCGCGTGTTTGTCATGGTGAGACTGGCTGAGGCGAGGTCTTACCTGCAAAGGCAAGAGCTGGATCCGAGCGTCGAGGATGTGGTCAACTGGCTGCTCCGGCTGAGTTTGGAGGACCTCCCGTCGCCCACAGAGCTACCCAGCCTCACTTCCTCGACAAGCAAGTGCGGGGATCTGTTCTTTGCCCCGGCTGGATATGTGACGGTGGACAAAGCGTGCGTAGAGGATAACTATAGTCTGTCGGAGCCTCATGTGATTTGTGCGTGTGTGTCAAATGTGTGTCAACGGGCATGGTGTGGAACTGGCGATAAGTTTGCGATGCGGTGCATGTGGTGGAGGGTGAGATGTTTTTGTTTGTTTGCCAATGAGGCGAATACCGCTGGCCATATTTCCATGGTCCCTGCGACCATCTGTGAGCTTCTACGCTGAGTCAAATGCGACGCGTGGCTGCAGCTTTAAGCGTTGCAGTGTCAGACTCAGAGCTTCTGCTGTTCCTTGGGACGGTGGGGGTCAGTTTGGACTGAGGAAGCCTCATGTGGAAGCAGCTAGCTTAATTTGCGAATCAATGGCTCGCGAAGATGATGCCTCTGGTGATGAACCAGGCCGTGGCTGAGGCTTGCAAACATGCGTCATGAGATTGCTGCTCTGATCAATGCCGACAGGTGACCAAGAAGACAAAGACCCAGCCACTGCCCCTCCTTGACATCTCGCCTGACGCAAAGCGTAAGCAACAGATTCAAAAGATAGCTGCAGCAAACAGAAACAGCAACAGCGACAGCAGCAAGGCAAATGCAGCTGGCCACACGCTGATGTTGGACCACCTGCATCCTCCACGCAATTTGGAAGACTGGTTTGCGCAAGATGGCACAGACATATCTGCTGAGCTGCAGCGAGCTAGGGACCACCTGCTCTTCAATGCCTACACGACCATTGCATTTGAGTCGGCTTCTGGAAATGGCAAATTGGATCCGGAGGACTTGGCCCTATTTGGTGACCCTGAAGGTGACCAGATCCAAGATTTAGAGGATTGGCTCCGATTCTTGAAGCGGCATCGGAAGGGTGAAGTGTCAGCAGCAGCAGCAGCAGCAGCAGCGGCACCAGGAGAGCAGCAGTCGCACAAGCAGGCTGAGGCAAATCAGGATAAGGCGCAAGCGTCAGCAACCGGAGGCGCTGATCAGCAGAAGCAGCAGCAGCAGAAGCCGGCTGGGGAGGCCCAGAATGATGAGGCGCAACTGTCAGCAACAGGAGGCGTCGATCAGCAGCAGCAGCCGGCTGAGGAGGCGCCAGTGGTTGACAAGGCTACGGAGGCAAAGCCGCGGCATGATGAGGCAACAGGAGGCGCTGATCAGCAGCAGCAGCAGCCGGTTGAGGAGGCCCCGGCGGTTGAGAAGGCCGCGGAGGCAAAGGCGCAGGATGATGAGGCGCAACTGTCAGGAGGCGATCAGCAGCAGCAGCCGGTTGAGGAGGCCCCGGCGGTTGAGAAGGCCGCGGAGGCAAAGACACAGAATGATGAGGCGCAACCAACAGGAGGCGCTGATCAGCAGCAGCAGCCGGTTGAGGCCCCGGCGGCCCCGCCAATGGTTGAACAGGCCGCTGAAGCAAAGACGCAGGATGATGAGGCGCAACCAACAGGAGGCGCTGAGGAGCAGCAGCCGCCGGCTGAGGGGGCCCCGGCGGTGGCAAAGACGCAGGATGATGAGGCGCAACCAACAGGAGGCGCTGAGGAGCGGCAGCAGCAGCCGCCGGCTGAGGAGGCCCCGGCGGTGGTTGACAAGGCCGCTGAAGCAAAGACGCAGGATGATGAGGCGCAACCAACAGGAGGCGCTGAGGAGCAGCAGCCGCCGGCTGAGGAGGCCCCGGCGGTGGTTGACAAGGCCGCTGAAGCAAAGACGCAGGATGATGAGGCGCAACTGTCAGGAGGCGGTGATCAGCAGCAGCAGCCGGTTGAGGAGGCCCCGGCGGTTGAGAAGGCCGCGGAGGCAAAGGCGCAGGATGATGAGGCAACAGGAGGCGATCAGCAGCAGCAGCCGGTTGAGGAGCCCCCGGCGGTTGAGAAGGCCGCGGAGGCAAAGACACAGAAGGATGAGGCGCAACCAACAGGAGGCGCGGACCAGCAGCAGCAGCAGCAGTTGGGTGAGGAGGCCCCGGCGGCCCCGCCAAGGGTTGACAAGGCCGCAGAAGCAAACACGCAGGATGATGAGGCGACACAAGCCGCTGATCAGCAGTTGGGTGAGGAGGCCCCGGCGGCCCCACCAGGGGTTGACAATGATCAGCAGCAGCAGCATTTGGGTGAGGAGGAGGCCCCGGCGGCCACGCTAGTGGTTGACAAGGCCGCTGAAGCAAATACGCGTGACAATGAGGCGCAACAGCAGCAGCAGCACCAGTCGGCTGAGGAGGCCCCGGCGGCCCCACCAGTGGTTGACAAGGCCGCTGAAGCAAAGACGCGTGACGATGAGGCGCAACTGTCAGCAACAGGAGGCGCTGATCAGCAGCAGCAGCAGCAGCAAAAGCCGGCTGGGGAGGCCAAAAGGAAAGCCACGCCTGAGTGTGAGAGGCCAGCGAAGGCAGCTCGAGTTGAGGCGCAGACTGTTTCCTGGAAAGGGTGGGACCAATTCAAACGCCCCTTCCCCACCCCGGAGATTGTTGGGCGTGCCGCGCAGCCAAAGGCGCAGATGACCCAGTTGAGCCTGACAGCCTTCGCAACACAACCAGTTGCGCCCAATCCATCTCAATCATCGGGATCATCGGGCCAGGACAGAACAAAAAATGTTGTTGACACATTGTTGTTGACGCAGTAGTAGAATCGACAGTCAACATAGTGTTGTGCCCCGATCTCTTCTCGCGCCTGTCAGGAAGCTACAAGCACGCCGGCGCCTACTGCCAAGGCCAAGGCCAAGGGCAAGGGGAAACATCAGCAGGTGGAGGCGGACGAGGCCGAGGAGGCCAGGGCCCAGGATGTTTGATTTGTAGCAAGTGCATAATAAGTGTTTGCCAGCGACCAACAGCGAGGCTGCTGCGGCCCTGGCGGCAGCGAAGAAGAGACCCAGGAAGAGGAAGTGATGCGGCAGGACGCTTTGTTTGGCTAATCAGAAGAGTGGCATTTGTTGATTGTTGCGCGTTCTGCAATGCAGTTGATGCGCTCAGTCAGCGTGGGATCGCTTGCGGTGGGAGGAGTGCTGGACTTTCTGATTCTGAGCTTTGCCCGAAGCCGAAGCATGATTGTCCTTGGAGGACCATCGCTGATACAAAAACAAAGCCATCACCATTACTCGCAAACTTATTTGCCACGAAAGCTCAAGCGAGCAAACATGTAATTTGTTTGTCAAGGAGTCCTGCAGGGCATGTTGCTTTGCGCGCAGCCGCTTGAAGCGACTGAGTAGGGTGACGCCCATAAGATTTGGGCGCCGCATGGCTCGCAGCCCCTTTGTTTCACTGGTAATGCTGGTAAATGCTTTGAACATATGATGGGGGATACATCCAACTCGCATCGCAGACGCCGTGGCTTCTGGAACTGTACAGTCAGGACTCTGTTTTACGAAAACTTGAAAACCTCTCGGCACCTGCGCCGCACGGATGTGGGGGATCATTGGCTTGGTAGGAGCAAACTGTAGGAACTGCGTGGCTGCCAGATTAGTCATTGATTGAAATTGAAGTGAACCAGCAAGTTACCAACAAAGATTGATCTTCACATCCTTCAAATTAACGTAGAGCTGGGAACCATGTTGTTTTCGCTTTGGAGCCGGAGCCAGCCAGCAGTGCCAGCAGTTGAAGTTTCAGCATGGCTACGACCTGTGGCGGACTGGACGCTTGCAATACTTGGGCGCAAAACAGCCTAGTTTCCTCCGCACTGTTCATGCGGCTTTGATGTCGGTGTTTTCCGAATGGATTTGAATTTGATTATCTCCAGAAGTTCTTGGGGCTGGCCTTACATTTGCAAAGTGGTGCCCGAATTGCATTCCAGTGCAACACTTCGCGGTTAGCTTGGTGACTCTGTGTTGGCAGCCAATTGTTTTCCCAGTTTCAGATGTGGGGGAGTACAGTGATTGCTGCAGCGGACGGAGTTGGTAGTTGGTTGCTTGCATTGGGGAATTGACCTGCCAACATCGGCCAACTTGACAGCTAGTGTCCTTGTCAGCCACAGCCCGACAGCTCAAGTGCGTCTTCTCGTGACTTGTGCTGCCTGTGCCTGCGTGGTGGCAAGTGGCATGCCATGATCTACAGGGTCAGTGTCTCGCAGCACACTGAAGAGATGACGCCAAGGCAAACTGATTTGAGTGTCCCGTTCAAACGGCGAATGGCTGCCTTGTGTTTTGCCCGGCTGATGGCAACAGCCCTCACGCGGTATGTGCACGGACCTTGGAGGGTCACAATCTTTTGCCTCGAGCCGGGTTGCTGGCCTGTGGAAGGCGATGCACCGCTTTCTGTGTGGTCCTGCGTCTCGCAGTGATGACCTTGACAAGGTGGCCAGCCAAAAAAAGAAGCACAGGCAGCTCCCGGCAATCCCAGTGGCATGTGTCTTTTTTGGCCTGGGCACCCAACGCATGTCCCAAGTTACATCCCCTCTACGGGCCCTCAACTCAATTCCCTTTTCAGGGAGCGGTCCCCGTGTTGTATTTTCGGGTTAACCGGGTTGTCATTTGATCATGTAGATTTTAAGATTTGCCCGAGTGCTGTGCGTCGATGAATGTTTTCTAGTTTTTCACTAGCTATTTAGAATTTTTCTGTTATCCCGAATTTTGAGTTGTTTGATTGTTTTTGACCATTTGGATTTGATGGCTTGCCTCCAGTCTTACACACCAGCATGAAGGAAGCATGCTGAATGCTGTTCGTTGCCCGGAAAGTTTTGGCTTTAGATCTCTGCTATGCAGGTCTGCTGCGGATACCAGCACATGATCAACACTGCGTGAGCCATCCCCGGGAATGATAACTAGACCGGCATTATATTCTCAGAAAGGTTCCGTGAAGCAGATTATGACAATCTAGGAGACATGCCTGCATGCGCACTAGCCATGTTCGAGTCGGTGGATTCCGACTGGCACCCCTGGTTCCTTCTGCGGCTGATCGATGCTGATGCTCGATGGATTGAGCAGGGCTTTACACCCCGCGAATGCTGGGAGTACCGCCACAATGTGAGGCGCTGGAGAGCCCGCCGCATCTTGATTGCTATTGGGTTGGATCTTTAGACTTTAACTTTTTCGGAAATCAAGGATTTTCCATTC